GCACAACGGGAGCCCTGGCTCTATTTTGAGTCGACGTGAGTTCAGACGCCATCTGAATTTCACTGCCACTCCCCAGTGCTTGCCGACCCTTAATTCGGGGATGTGGGCATGTCAAGACAAGGGCCAGCCGAGGGAGGGGACTTTACCCTCAGGAAGAGTGTGGTTGAAAGCAGCTTGAGCCGTCCTTTTAGAACATTTACTGCTATTTCGACCTCAAAGTCACAGCCAATTCTGTAAAGATGTGAGCAGCTGAAAATTCTTGCAATGTGACTTCTGAAAAAATGTGTTTCAAAGGTTAAAAGTAAGCAAAACTACAAATAATTCAAATCACCCGAGCCTATTCCACTGCACTGTTTCATTCATATATTTGATTTTAAATCCTGTTACTTTTTTAATAGAATCTTTTCTTGAGACACGTAATCAGAAATACTTCATGAAAAAAAAAAGGACATGTATTTTGTTGGGATAGTAAATAAATGTTTTAATTTGGGATCAGTGAATGGAACACTTCAAAATGGACAAAGGTTGAATGAAACTAACCTTGGCTCTCGATGAAAAACACGGGAGATTAGATTCAGAAAGGGCTCCACAAAGAACTAAGGGAATTGCCTTGGCACTTGCAAAAGTAGCCCATCAGATACACGTTCTCTAAGTTTGAGGGATAGTACTAATGTAAAAATATATTTAAAAAGTACGTTTTATTAACAAGAAAAATGAAGTCATTTGTTGGGACTCCCCTCCACTCAAGAGTGTTGTAGCCCGTGTGCCCACGCGCTTGGTGTGCTGCCACCAGAAGGGTGGAGTGCCAGGGTGGGTGTGGAGTTTGTGTCAATGGAACCCACGGGCTGAGGGCCCGTGGAGCAGGTGGGGGTGAGGCCTGGGGCCGGAGCAGGCCAGCTCTGGTGGGCATGCAAACTGGCCGGGTCTGAGAAGGTCCAGGAACCACCTGGGGGGTCAGGTGTGGGCAGGAACTGACCTGGAGCCAGTCAAAGGATTTTTTATTTTTCCTGTTTTGGAAAAACAGGAGCCTAGCAAGGAGGGCAAAGAGATCTGGCTGGGAGCTGAGACGATCTCGCAAACCAGGGCACAAACTGAATGGGGGCTGGGGAGGCTGGCACCCGAAAAAGCTGGGACAAGGTGAGTGAGGTGGGTGTGCAAACGGGCTGGGAGCAGGGTGATTTCACGAGGTGCCCAGGAGCTGGGCTTGTGAGAGGGGACTGACTAGGTGTCTTGTGAGAGGGCACTAGGTGTCTCGTGGGCACGTGTGCCCTTCCTCCTCTCTGCCCGCTCTCTCAGCGTCTGGTATGTGGGGACTTCGGGGTACTAACTAGTGAATCGTTTTCCCACATGGCTGATGTCCTGGTTTTCCTTGTCCGATGCGTTCTCCGGGTGCTGCAGAGGGCTTTCCGCCCCGTGTGCCACCTTGAACCAGAGCCAACTGTCCTGTTTACGGCTTCCTGGAAGGCTCTCTGTAGAACATGTTTCCAACTGGGGCCTCCCCTCCATCACGTCACAGTGGTCCACGCACCCACCTCCAAGAGGAGAGAGGAGTCTGAGGCGGCGCAGGGCTGGTTAAAGCACAGCCTCTGAGCCCAGCTGGGCGCCTCTCTCTCTCTCTCTCTCTCTCTCTCTCTCTCTCTCTCTCTCTCTCTCGGTCCTTATTTCCAAGATGACTTCAGACATCAGGTCTGTCCCCACCTCGTCTGGTTCTCTGAGGATAGCACGAGGCAAAGCTGCCCAGAGCCTCACACACGATTCGTGTGTTGTGTGCTAGCTGACATTATTGTTATTATTTAAGGAGAGAGGGCAGCATCAGACTGGGCCGATGTAGGATGTCAAGAATACAAGTACAATAATATCTTATATCAAAACTGCAGTTTGCAGAAGTGTAGCAGCCAGGGCTTCCTGAAACGATAACTTCTAATGGCACCCCCATTTGGTGCTTATAGAGAAGGAAGACATCACTAGGATCAGGGGGACTGGGAAAATGCCAAGTGCTCTTAGAGAGGGATGTGCAGACGCTTTGCTTGGGGCCATCCCTCCTGGTTGGCATTGGAATGGTATTCCCGCCTTTCCTTTAGGGAAGCGTCCCTCCCCCCTTCCTCTGACTATCACAGAAGCCTGTCCCCAGCCCTGACTACGGGGACTGGCCCAGGGGCAAGCACATGACTGACACTGGGCCAACTGGAGTGCTGCCCTGAGATTTAGTGTGCGGGGAGTAAGACTAATTTCCCCTCGGGGATTTTTCAGTTGACGGAAGCAAGGAGCAGTCTGTGGCCCTGCCCTCCCTGCTTTGACAAGGAGGAAACCCTTCTGAATCCGAGGAAAGTGAGTTCGGCACCCAGAGAAACCTAGCGGTCAACAGGTGATGACAATCTGGCTTGGGTCCCTGGATCCAACGAGGCCTGAAGCTCATGTGACCCCTGCACTTCCCAGTTCCGGTCCTAGTACAAATCCTCACTACATAGAAATCAAAGGGAACCACGTCTCCGCCCAGTCTCAGTTCACGTGGCTTGCTCATCTGTGAGCGGGGCTGAATGAACTCTCCCAAGACCAGCCCCCCCCTCCAGGGCCCAGCTGACCTCCTTCCCAGTGGGACCCAGGCTCTTCCCGCTGCAGGCCTGTGTCCCCACCAGCATGGCCAGGTGGGCCTCCAGTTCTCCTAGGCTGTGGGTGTGGCCTGCGTGGCCAAAGTGGCCGAGGTGAGTCACGTGATTCTTGGCAGACTGCCCATTGCACCTGCAACAAAGGAGAGCACCCAAGGGGAGGGGAGCTGCTTTCCCCCATCGGTGCACCTTTGGGTGGGAACCCGCAGCTGGTCCCCCTGGCCAGGCCAGCCCCACACAGCACCCTCCCAGAGTCCCCTTCACGCAGAGAACAAGCCAAAAGCCTCACTTGAGCTGCCCCGGTAGGGCCCCTCCTCCCTGTCCCTCTGACACCCCTGGCTCTCTGCACCCGCTGCTGCTTCCCGCGTGTCCTTTCCAGCTCTGCTCACACATCTTCCCAGGAAGGCCGTCCCAGAGTCCCCCTGCAGGCCCTCTGCCCCGGATCCACTTGTCCTTCCTCACCAGCGCAGGGGT